CACACACACACACACACACACACACACACACACACACACACTCTCTCTGTGTGCAACCCTCACCTGTGTGTAACTCTGAGTGCTTCCTGTGCAGATGTACCGCCTCACGCTCCGGACCAGCAGGGACTCGGTGTCTCAGAGACTCTGCGAGCTGCTCTCAGAGCAGTTTTAGACTCGCCGCCTCTCACACCTCAGCTCCTGTACAGTGTAAAGTCTTTTTTATTTTTCTTGCTTTACATCTGAATGAATCCAAATGTATTTTTGCACACAGCTTTACTAATCACACTGCTTTAATCGTCCCTCACTGTGAGCGCCTCGCTGCAGGTCCCGACTCTGCCGCCTTTCCCTTTAGAGAACAATCCCACCAATCGCACGCCTTCAAACCAGAATCGCTCGATCAGAGGTCGGCGTCGTTTACCTCGGGAGGAAAAGCCGCAGCTTTTCTGTCTTTGGTGTAACAACGACTTCAGATGCTTGGGGCGGTTCTGCTTTTGCACATAAATTTTACACGATAATTCAGCAAAGACAAAAAGTCCTCGTAGAACACTAGCTAGGATCTTCTTATTGTGCTGGAGGTCATGAGGTCATGGGAGCGCGTCTGTTCTTCTTGTGCACCTCTGAACCGGTTGGCTCGCTTTCAGACACCAAACGGGAATGCTGCTCCTCCAGCCACGGATCCAAGCTTCCCGTTTGGAGCGGGACTTCCAGGGAGCCATCTAGGAATCTGCAGCAGGTGCAGAGGTGAACAAGGAGACGGCTTTGTAGGTTTGAAGGGGACGCGGCCCAAAGGTCATGAGTAAAGGTGGCCTTTGACCTCGCCTCGTTCTTACCTCCAGACGGTCGAGTCTGTGAACGTTTGTTACTGAGAACATAAAGGCCTTACAAAGAGCCTCAATCACTGCCTCACACACTACGTTTGCCTTAAAGCACCGCTGCACTCTTCACATTTCTGTCGCTGTTTGCTGAATCTCCTGCGTTTGTGTGACGTGTCCTCATCCTGATCTGCGACGGCACACGTGACGAGTACAGAGCGAGCGTCCACGCGTGGGCTTCAGCCTCACAGACGTCGATGTGACAGAAAAAAACGCTGTTTCCGGTGTTTACGCCTCACGCGGCGCCGTTTCGGCTTCAGGTTCACGAAAAAGTCTCCATCGTTTTAAAGGAGACCGTCAGACGCCTCACCTGCAGTGCCTTCAAGGTGAACTCTGTTCAGCCTCTTTTACACCTGTGCCTTCATCGGCTGCTGACCCCGCAGCTCGCCCCTGCTGTCAGCACACAGTGAGCCAGGTACTCTGATTTGTGCTAAACATTAGAGATGTTGGAGGAACGTCCTGTACGCGGCAGGAAGCAGCTTGTTGAGCCAGCAGGTGAAGCCTGGCCTCTCCCGGCTGCAGTTTGGCACACGTGAGTTTGAGCTTTCAGGAGGCGATGAAACGATGTCTGAGCGTTGGTCGGCCCAGCAGGAAGCTCTCAGCGTTCTTCCTCGTTACTGCCCATAGAGAAGTGTTCAATGCCACGGGCTCAGTCGTCACGGCTTCACCTCAGAGCGAGGAAACTTTAAGGTCTGACCTCACGCTGTGGCTTCCAGCTCTCGCCGTCGTAGCTGGACGTCCTCTCAGTTTCTGTCCTGAAGCTAATCTGTAGACGAAGTTTTGCGACCCGTTGAAGCTCCGTGTGGCGGCTCAGGCCGAAGCAGCCGCTCGTCGCGTTTCCTGAACTTTACGTCTTTAAAATCCGTCGTCGCTCCTGACGGACGCTCGCGCTCAGTCACGTGTGCCTCGCTGAAGGATCGCACGCCATCGAAGCAGAAGAAACGGCTGCTGATGTCACTGTGATGTCATTTCAACATCCAAATGTGTTTTTACAAATAAACATATTTTACAAACTAATAACCTGAAATCTGCTGTTTTTATTCAAAAAGGAAAAAAAGCCTCCTGCTAACTCGATCTCGCTTCACTTTGAATAAAAATAATAAAATGTTTTCAAACCTTCAAAAGTGTTTTTAGAAATGAAGCTGAAACTTCGCAGCACTCATATAATTGCCTCAGATTTGTACATGAATATCTGATTTCTTTTTTCTTACCATGAAAAGGAATTTTCTGTCTTAAATTCTACACTAATAAAAACGTCACATAACAGACGAATAGTGAATGATGTGTAGAGTTTCTCAATAATGTGAAAATAAAGCATGTTTTAAACATTTTTGTTAGTTTTTCTTAGACCACAACATGGATTTACACAATGATTTATATGAAACCAGCCGTGCAATACATGGTTTACGGCTTCAAACAGTAACTTCTGTTGACAGCAAAGACATTTTTCTCCACGACAGGATCGTCTTCCTCCTTTGAGTTAAACGTAATGCTGTTAGGTTATACACTTATAGCACAGTTTTCATAAGGTGCCTGCATACCAACAATATTAGATTTAGTCTGGATGACAGAGACAAATCACAACAGTCGTCTCAAGGTGCTTTTACTGTAAGGTCGACCCGACAATAACACATACAGAGAAAACCCAACAATCATATGACCCACTATGAGCAGCACTTTGGCGACAGTGGGAAGGAAAAACTCCCTTTTAACAGGAAGAAACCTCCAGCAGAACCAGGCTCAGGGAGGGGCGGGGCCATCTGCTGTGATTGGTTGGGGTGAGAGAAGGAAGACAGGATAAAGACATGCTGTGGAAGAGAGACAGAGGTTAATAACAGATATGATTCAATGCAGAGAGGTCTGTTAATACATAGTGAGTGAAGAAGAAACACCCAGTGCATCATGGGAATCCCCGGCAGCCTACACCTAAAGGAGGATTCGGAGTCACCTCATCCAGCCCTAACTATACTTTAACGTCTTCCAGTGTTTCCTCAGTGTTGACCGGTCCCATACAGAGTGAAGAAGCCTTTTTCTCCTGAAAGTCTCCAACATGAGTCTGGAATGTCTCGGATTCCAGACTCTCTGGACTCTGGCTGTTTGTGAGATTTTAAACGAGCCTTTGTTTCTTGTATGTTTTCCAGAATATCCAGTCTCCACGCCTCCAACTGATCGATGGTGGGGTTTTTCTTACGGAGTGTGAGATTGGATAGTGGTGTTGAAGGCATATGTTTAGATCAAATCAAGTGTCTTAACTGTAATTTTTAAAAAATATCTTTTTAGTGTTGTTATAAGTTTGACAACGTTGATTAAATGTTAGAAAGCTGCCATTTAGATAAAGACCTATCCTCCTCACGCTCCTCTCAAACCATATTTTAAAGCCACCACCCGATCTTCCTGCTGACGTCCAAACTGTATTTGTCCATACTGGGGAGACCAAGAGATACAGCTGTCACTAGTGGGGTTTTTGTTTGTTTTAAACATTTTGGACATTAACATTTTAACATTGATCGGTGATATGGGCATAGTTATCCATTGCTCAGGTGTTTCTTTGACTTACTTCAATAAACGGTCATAGTTTGTCAGTTGATTTAACATCAGTGGTTGGATAATTAAGTCCTATGTTGAACTGATAAAAAGGGTTTTTATAACTAGATTTAATCTTTCCACCTTATGTAAGACTGCGTTCTTCCATTTGTGCAACATCTCTAAAGTTAGAAATATCCTGTCTCAGAGTGACGCTGAAAAACTAGTTCATGCATTTATTACTTCCAGGCTGCACGACTGTAATTCATTATTATCAGGAAGTCCTAAAAACTCGCTGAAAAGCCTTCAGCTGATCCAAAATGCTGCAGCAAGAGTCCTGACAGGGACTAGAAAGAGAGCAGATTTCTCCTGTTTTGGCTTCCTGTTAAATCCAGAATTCA